GGAGACCGGCAGGTCCGCAAAGCTCATCGGTAGCTTTTACACCACGCACAGAGGAATAGAGGGAGCAAGCAGAACCTTTAAACGGCACGATTAAAACTATTTACTCCTTGATATTTGTAATCTTACATTGAAGTAGGGAAGCTTCTTTTGTTGGCAGTGGATAGACTGGCGACTATATATCTTCAAGGACCTGTGAGGTCTCAGACGTGGCCGAGCCGGACAAGCGGAGGGAATCGGATCTGAGCCCCGCCCCATTTGCTGACGCTGCGGGCGTGGAAGCTGATTGGACGCGGGGCTCTCCCGGTTCTCAGAGCTGGAAGATGAATGGGAACCTTCGCCAAGGTCCCTTTCTAGGTACTGTCGGTTCTTCTAAGAAAGGAGAAAACCCTAAATCACTGAGTTTTTATGTTCCCTTATTCAGGGATGATAACAATAGTAAGAGTTGTGAAAAGTCACTAAAATAATATATTATCAATATATTTTTAAAATCCAGCCCAGACCTATCACGTGGACATCTCCGAGGAGACGTCGTAAGGCTGATGTGTGGCGGGACCAAGATGCTGTTTTGAATGCTGTAACTTGTTCTCCCTACTTTCCTCCTCGGCTCACAAGTGGTGACATCATTCAGGCCTCCAGTCTCAGCTATTCTCATGTCTCGCTTTAATTACTCTCCACATCCAAATTATCAAGCAGGTCTGTTTAGCTGCACTGCTAAAATATCTTAATTTATCTGCTGCCACATCATTCCCTATTTTAATTTCTTGTGGGTTACATTTACAAGCTAAATGGATAAAGTGCAGGACAGTTATTCTTTGGGGACAGCCAAATGGCCTGAAAGGTTTGTTTTGTTTTACCTTTTATATAATCCACACAAGTTCTACAAAGGTCACTTTCGGAGTGGGTCAGACAGACTGGGGTGGGGGCTTGAGACAGACACATTACTGAGCTGATTATTTTGGACTTTGTTTTCTCATTAGTGAGCCACAGGTTCTTACAGGATGCCACCAATAGGTTCTGCACTTTTAATTAGTTCATAACTCAATTATTGAGAAATGATTTGAAGACCACAACATGAAATATCTGTACTTAGATACCCAGGCAACAAAACCAGTGGGACTTTGTTACACTTTCTGAAGGGTGGATGCTCTGTATGTAACTTGTGAGAAATCCCCTCTGGGGTGAAAGGGAATCGCTGCATCTGACTGGTTTTTCACCGAGGAAGACGGTGCTTAGGGAATGACGTGGGACACATCATTTGGTGACACTCCTCTGACCTCTGTACCGAGAGATCAATAAACTGCTAGCTCTGGGTGACAGCAGCAACAAGCAGTGGCTGTTGGCCCCATTTGACTTACCAGGTCCCACACAGAGACGGTGTAGGGAGCTTCTGACAGCACCCGTAGGTGAACCACAGCATAAACTAGGGCTTTGGAGAAGACCTATGCTGTCCTTTGCAGGGAGATAGTCTCCACAGAGAAGTAGTTCCTGGCCTGCCACTGAGCCTTAATGGAGGCTACGGACCATACCTCGCCAGTTTCCATAAAATCTGAACTATCCATCCCACTTGGCACTGTGGTTAACAACTTATCAACTCATAAATGCTGGCGTCCACAGCAGGATTCCATTGTCAAATGTTATGCACGACACCAAGTAGGTCTTAAAGGAATGAGTATGTGGTATGAGCAATAGTTGAGGTGCATATGGCCTCTTCCTTCCCAGCCTGTGCATGGCATGGAGAGGGCCTATGACTAGTTGACTGCAGAAGAAAAAAAGCAGGGATCCTCCAGAATGCTTGCACTACCTACAAGTAGATGGCTTTGCACTGCAGCCCCACTCTGGGGCAGAAAGAGGTGAGCCTGAAAGACAGTGGAGGAAAGTCTTCCCTGGGGACAGGAGTCCAGCAGGGTCGCTGGTCACTCATTTTGCTTGCAAGGAGTGATGTGAAGAGTTGCAGGTCTGTAGTCATTCGTGGACACTAGCTAAGCATCTGGAAGGAAGTTGACACCTACATCTTGCCAACCTGATCATGAACATCCTCCTCTATAAACCCAGCAGCACCCCAGGTCATACCAGGGATCCTGCTGCTTTCAGTGTGAACTGTTTAAGTAAGGCTGTCTTTAGACTTTTTTTAAAAATCTCAACTTCTAAAAGGCGATCTGCAAACCTCATGGCCAACCTTAAATATTCATTAAAACTATGACTTTGCCCCAGAGCCTCCTAAATCATTGTGGTGAAATGGTAGGCACAAAACTGGAGTGAAGAAAAGCCACCAGCCTGTCCCAAGTTGGCTTTAGCCACACCCTCTTAGCTATGTACTTGCCCTTGTCTTGCTAGAAGATTGTGGGATTTAGCCACCTGCTTGGAATATTAAAGAACTTTTCATTCTAAAGCTCAAGGCTGGCCATAAACCACTTGTAAAAGTGGGGTGGGGTGGCGTTAAGGGCTGCAGATTGGCCCAGCATGTGTATTGCTGCTGGGGTCTGGGAGATGATTTCCTGAGAGACGCTTAA